ACCCAAAGAAGTGCCACCCATAAAGCCCTCGACAGATCTGAAACTGAGCAGAAAATCTAAAAATTTTAGGAATTTATTAGATAAGTGCAGTTGTCTCAAGATGCACAAAAGAAGACGTGGGAGAACGTTGTCAAAAGCACCCCGCAGATCAATAAATACCACACCAGTAAAAGCATTTCTAAAGAAGTCCCGCTGAATATCCGCGGAAAGCAAGAAAAAACAATCCGTTGTAGATCTCGACTTACGAAAACCAAATTGTCTTTCAGCAAAAAAGCAATTATTTTCCAGCCACCAATAAAGTCTATGGTGAATTAAACGCTCAAAGATCTTTAGAAGGCTATTAGACATGGAAATAGGCCTCATCGCAGAGGAGTTGGCCTTGGGAATAAATACCATAAAATATTCAGACTAAGCAGACGGATAGGAACCGAGATTAAACATTTTATTAAATAAACCAAAAATAAATTTTTTTGTAGATAAAGGGAGTCTAAGTAAAATGTGATTAGGCACAAGATCCGGACCATGAGCAGAACGTTTTTTAATTCGATTAAAAGCACAGCAAAATTCATCCCAACTTAATGGTCTAATAATATATTTATTATACTCGCAAACAAAACTACAAAAGGAGCTCCAATCTAACGAAGGGCGAGAGGATAGCAAGGAGCGTTTAACATAATCATTCGGAAGACAAAGGTCCAAAGGATCGGTCCATACGCTAGGGACAACAATGTCAAAAGCATCTCGAGCCGCAGAAATTCTATTTTCTACATTCATAGGTGGCTGAGGAAGTCTCCTATTTTTAAAGGATTTTAATATACGCCAAACGAAAGCAGAACTAGCCTTGGGATTAATTGTAGATCAATTGAGAATTCTTTAAACGAGTCAAGTTTTATATTTAGTAGTTTTTTCTTGACATTCGCGGCAATAATACGGTAATTCGAAAGATTAGTCAAAGAAGGATTACATAAGAAAGCCTTATAAGCCTTTTTTCGTTCTAAGGTCAAAGAAGTACACTCTTCAGACACCAGACGGAGAGAGAAGTAAAACGACTCTTTCCCCTGTTATTACGCAGAGTAGCACCGTGGGTTATAAGCTTATTGATAAACCAAATATAAAAATCATCATAACAAATAACAGGATCCTTATTATAGATGGTAAAAGAAGAGGAGTTATAATCAAGTTCAAACAGAAAATCGGACCAAGAAATCTTATCAAAATTAAAGGCCGGTCTACATACAGTAGAACGGTCAGACGATCCAAATAAAGTAATCAATGAGGGAAAGTGATCACTATTATAAGGATAATCCATCACGTATGATACAGTGGATAGTGCAATATAATCAGAAGCAAATGTAAAATCAATAACACTTCTATGGGACCCATCAGACGAGGTCCATGTGGGACTTCCATTGCCCAGATTTACAAATTGAGATTGGGAAACCGCTGATTCCAATCTGCGACCTTCTTCATTATATTTCACTGGGAAGGAGGACCAAAAGGGAACATGGGCATTAAAATCACCACATAGAATAACATTATCAAAATCAGTTAGGCAGTCGAAAAATTTTTCCCAAAAAGATGGATCAGAGTCACAAGAAGATCGACCCGGAAGGTTATAGATAGATATTAAAACAATGATTTTGTTACTACAATGGATTTTAATACCCAAAACATCAACTTTGTTATCGTCACAAATAGATTTCAACAAAGGAAAGTCCTGTATAGAGAAAGAAATGTTATTTCTAACAAGAAAACCAGCACCACCCCCGGAGGATAGAAGTCTCGGGGAGTTCAAAAAAGTATAACCACGAATAAGACAAGAGTGAGTGTTGCCAGCATTCTTAGAGATGCAAGTTTCAGAAAGACAAAAGACATCCGGATGATGATCATTGATCAATTCAATCAAGTCCGCCGATCTAGCCAAAAATGATCTAACATTCCACTGAACTATGGTTAATTTTTGAGAGTCATGCGAAGATGAAGCGATATATGTATTACTTGTAGAAGCCATTTTATTATAGATCTTCGAGAGACAGCGAAGAGCAGATCTTCGATAAGTCCATAATCAAGGACGCAAATTAAGAAATATGAGATTTTCCTAAGGAGACGGTAGAATTAGTTCGATTAGAGTCAGTGGAAGAATAATTTAGCGAAAGGAATTCAAGCAGAGATTTAGACATAGCTCCATCGGAAGCATTGAGTTTAGAGAAGAGTTTTTGATTAAACAATTCAATCGAACATACCATACTGGATCGAAGACGGGGCCGCACCTCATCACCCCCAGAGCCCGCGGCGACATCAGCCGCAGGAAAGCCACAAACAAAACCAGCGGAAGCGCCGACGCCGGACGCGGACGACGACCCCACAGAAGCGACACAGCCATCAGCCCGGGAAGACCGCCGGCCACGGGTGTATATCAGTTCGACACGGGGCAATTGGACACAGTCCAATCACAAGTCGCTGTTCCAAGGGACCCTACAAATGTCTCTAATCACACGGTGCTGTGATTGGCTGTGTCCAAATGCACCGTGTCCAAGTGCACCGTTCCCGCCGGCCACCGCCACGCCGGGCCACAGCAGCCGAAGCACCTCCGGTAGCAGAAAGCCGCCTTCTCTCAGCTCTCTTTCTTCTCACAACGTGTAGGGAAGAAAGGAACCCGGAACCTCGAGACTGTAACACAGGAGAAACAGATGTTGGAACATTCCCATCTATATTATTACCAGGGCTTACCAGAGGTAAAGCCGTTTTACTTTTTTTTGAAGACTTAAGAGCCTCCGCATAAGACACAACGGATGGTTTATTAATAATCTTTGGCCAGAAATCTTCCAAGGTAATCGAGGAAGATCCATCTGAATAGTTATCCTCAGTGAGACCACTGACCTTGATGAAATTTTCAGCATCTAGAGGGCCCAGGCAATGAACCGCCATGATTCTTTTAACATGTTTATTATGTATGTAGACCGGACAATTGACACTGGAAACATGATGGTCAGAATTAGCCAATTTGTTACGCTCGCAATTGATGCATATTACAACATCCGACAAACAATTCTGGTCAGAGTGTCCCTCACCTGCACACCTGCCACATATCAGAGGCATTCCTATCTTTTTACATGAAGACCTCAAATGACCAAATCTATGACAATGAGTGCATCTAATAACTCTACCAGCAAACGGTTTCAAGAAGATTTTTTTCCCCAAGAGGAATACAAAAGAGGGAAGACAAAAATTTTCGAAAATGCCTATAAATGTGTTGGTAGTAATCATTTTATATCCATCTGGTGCGTCAGGATCGGGAGTCCTCTTGTGGAGCCTCTCCACCGAAACAGGCGATCGCCACTCGCCCCTCCATTTATATGTGGGACGTAAGTGTTGCTTTATAAATTCGGTATCCAATTCAGAGTCGTCAATCCCTGCAAGGATAACTTTTTTTTTACTCTGAAATCAGGAATAAACGTGAGCCAAGTTTCATCTTTAAATACAGAACGTTCAAATCTCAACATTTCTTGAACGAAGGAATTTGCGAGATCACAAGTAAGAAATGATATGATAAATTTAATGGGACTAATCCTCTTAAAGTCAAAGGCTACAGACATAAAAGATTCGATGGATTTGATATCGAATAAAGCTTTAGCCAATTTTAGAACACTAATAGGACGTGTGTCCATAGTATTATCAACCTGTCTTTCCATAAACACAATGAAAGGACCGTTACTATTTTTCGAGTAGCGATTCTTCACAGCAGACGGAGGAGAAACCCGCGATCCAAGATCAACAGGAGATGCAACTACCGAAGGCGGAGTCCGCATGGGAGATGCACCGACAGAATGAGTAGGAATGGGAATGGAGGAATGGAATACGGAAGAGGAAGAGGCTGATAGACTTTTACGGGAGCGGTGCACTTGGACACGGTGCATTTGGACACAGCCAATCACAGCACCGTGTGATTAGAGACATTTGTAGGGTCCCTTGGAACAGCGACTTGTGATTGGACTGTGTCCAATTGCCCCGTGTCCAACTGATATACACCCGACTTTTACTACTGCCACTCAACCCTGATTTTTCGAAGCCAGTCAGACTTTCTTTCTCCTTCGACTTAGACAGAAGGTCTGATTTAATACGAGGGCCTGGAGAGACCCTTTTGGTAGCGCCATAAATGCTCAGATGAGCTCAATCTTTTCCTGAGCCTTTCAGTGATCATCATAAGAGATGAATTACACTTGATATTAGATACTGGAGACTTCAACATACCAGACGTAGCAGAGGTAGTCAGTAACATACTTTTCTTTTTCTCAGACGATTTTTCTAACGAGATCAAAGGCTGAGCATCTTGTCCTCAGAAGGTTGGAACTCGAAGATGTTGAGTATATTATCATCCACGTCCTTGTTTATTTCTTTATCTCCATACTGGATTAAGCAATCACGTGTTTCTATCGTGAGGATTATAGGTTAAGCGGTACCAGATCCACAAAGAATCACGTGATATACACGTGTTCAACGTATAGCAAGTGAGTGACAAAAATCACACTAAAGCAATTAAGCAGCCAAGCACTAATATAATTAGGTAAATCAAGTAAATTAAACCAGAGTCCAGAAAACAAAGCCAGGTCCAAGTCAGTAAAACTAACACATTTGCAAAAGCGCAAAAAATACGAAATTACAAGCTGCTAAGTGAGAGGCTAAGAGACACGAGGCACACCATGTGGCGACCGAAAGCCAACTCCAAAAGCGTACGTATCATTTCCGTATCCCTGAGTGAAATCTGAGAGACCATTCGCGGGTGTATATCAGTTGGACACGGGGCAATTGGACACAGTCCAATCACAAGTCGCTGTTCCAAGGGACCCTACAAATGTCTCTAATCACACGGTGCTGTGATTGGCTGTGTCCAAATGCACCGTGTCCAAGTGCACCGCTCCCGATTCGTGTACTGATCTTCCTCCCGGTTTCTCCTATATAAACTTTACCACAAGAGCAAGGGATCTTATATACACCTGATGTTTCTAGGCATGATTTCTGATCCTTCGGATTTGGGAGTAAATGGGAGAGCTTCCTATGAGGTTTGAAGATTACTTTGATTTTGTGTTTACCCAAAATCCTGCTGATAGGTTCTGTTATGCCCTGGAGATATGGAAGGACAGCCGTTTTTCTCTTTTCTCTCTCTTCATCTAGTGTGTCAGTGTTTTTAGGACTGACAATTCTGTTCTTCTGGTTTTTTATTATTTGCGAGATGTTTTTGCTGTTGTATCCATTTTTAGTTAAGGCTGTACTGAGGTGTTCTAGTTCTCCATTCAGAGAAGATGGTTCCGAAATTGTGAGCGCTCTGTAAACCAATGAACTTATGACAGAATTCTTTTGCGAAGGATGATGATGAGAGGTTGCACGTAGATATCGGTCCGTGTGTGTTGGTTTTCGGTAGACCTGGTGACCTGGTGACAAAAGAATTCTGTCATAAGTTCATTGGTTTACAGAGCGCTCACAATTTCGGAACCATCTTCTCTGAATGGAGAACTAGAACACCTCAGTACAGCCTTAACTAAAAATGGATACAACAGCAAAAACATCTCGCAAATAATAAAAAACCAGAAGAACAGAATTGTCAGTCCTAAAAACACTGACACACTAGATGAAGAGAGAGAAAAGAGAAAAACGGCTGTCCTTCCATATCTCCAGGGCATAACAGAACCTATCAGCAGGATTTTGGGTAAACACAAAATCAAAGTAATCTTCAAACCTCATAGGAAGCTCTCCCATTTACTCCCAAATCCGAAGGATCAGAAATCATGCCTAGAAACATCAGGTGTATATAAGATCCCTTGCTCTTGTGGTAAAGTTTATATAGGAGAAACCGGGAGGAAGATCAGTACGCGAATCAAGGAACACCAGCGATGTACCAAGTATGGTCACTTTACTCAATCAGCCCTAGCTGAACACTGGATGGAGACTGGACACTCCGTACAATATGAAAAAGCCACCAGATTGGCTCCCTCACAGAGTTATTTTGCCAGAAAACATCGTGAAGGTCTAGAAATTTTGAAACATCCCAACAACCTCAACCGAGACAAAGGTATGCAAGTAAACTCTATTTGGCATACTGCCCTCCCGGTTTTTTAATTGACCAGCTGATCAATTAAAATACGCTGATTGGCTGGATTCAAGCCTCGTCCCCCTACTCCCTAAACACGGATGTATATCAGTTGGACACGGGGCAATTGGACACAGTTCAATCACAAGTCGCTGTTCCAAGGGACCCTACAAATGTCTCTAATCATACGGTGCTGTGATTGGCTGTGTCCAAATGCACCATGTCCAAGTGCACCGCTCCCCCTAAACACCATCTAAACAAAGGGATGGAGGGGGGCATATAAGGACTACCTTTACCCAAGGGAGCTCAGTATCAGAGTTCTCAGCCCTGATGATGCAAACTGCAACGTTTGCGAAACGTCGGCATATCGCTGATTCAAGACACGGCTCCATTCCGGAAGCTATATCTAGACATTGTATCAATGGCCGTGAAAGCCTCAAATCTACTTATTTTCAGTATTAAAAATACTGGATAATAAGTAATTATCAATGATTCTTAGTATGATATTTCTGTAAGGGATATGGCGATGATTTAAAAGAAATGTTAGCTCTGATGCATCTGCTATAAAATACTTTGGCAGTATTGGCTTTTTTCCCATTAAATCTATAACTTTACAGAATGTTATTGTTAAGACATCACAAATAAACTGTTTAAGCCACTAAAATTTTTAATTTGTGGATTTAGAGAAGTATATGAAAATTATAGATGGAGTTAAATTACATAAAGAGAGCATATAGACATTATAGTATGCGGACGATATAGTGTTGTTAGTAAAACAAAGGTTTGCGCTAATAGATATGATGAATTATTTAAAAATATTCCTAAGAGACAGGAAGTTGATATTGAATATGGAGAAAATAAAAAGATTAGTTCTCAATAGAAGAAGGAATGAAAACAAGAACAAATGGAGATGGGAAAATAATGAGGTGAAAGAGGTAGAAAATTTTAAATATTTAAGGTTTGCTTTTTATACAAAAGGGAACAGTACAGATCATATAAAAAAAATCACAAAAGAAGAATAATAGCCGCAAATAAAATATAAGCTTAGGTAAGGGAAAGAATTTGTAAGAATGATTTTAATAGAACAGGAAGATTGTTTAAGTATTTAGTAAATGCTATGATGGCGTATGGAGTTGAAATGTGGGGATGGGAGGAAAAGAAGAATATGGCCAGACTTTTATTACAGGGTCTCCATTTCAGCTGAAATCGGGATCAGCTAAAACCGGCCCATGATTCCTCTCCTTCTCTCTGCTTATAGTTAACGGGTGTATATCAGTTGGACACAGGGCAATTGGACACAGTCCAATCACAAGTCGCTGTTCCAAGGGACTCTACAAATGTCTCTAATCACACGGTGCTGTGATTGGCTGTGTCTAAATGCACCGTGTCCAAGTGCACCGCTCCCATAGTTAACACCTGTGACCGTCCGACCTACCGTAAAGTCTATGCTACGCGTCTTATGGCTCCTGCACATAGAACGCGGTAATGCTTGTCGCGCAGTGGAAGTCCACGTGACAGCCAATCAATATGTCGTTTTTCCATAAGTTCCCATAAGTTTCCATAGTTTTTTCTAGAAGGTTATTACTGAACGCAACATACTGATTGGCTGTCGCGCGATCTTTCGCCATGCGGCAAGCATTACCGCGTCCTGTGTACAGGAGCCATTACACGAAATCCATCGAGATCACCCTTGATCGCACGAATCCTCGGGTAGAATCACGCGATTTGTTTGACCCGAAAAATTGGGATCCAATCTCGTGTTAAGGTTGGAGCGCTATTCCTCGCGACAGTGTGGCCGCAACCCGCCGGGACGTAACAATATAATATTTCTAAGAAATAATTCGAAATAAATATCTATGAATCTTTATCATAAATATTGTGTGTTGTCTGGGAATATACTGTGAACACTATTAGCTTCTGCACGCGGTAATGCTTGCCGCGCGGCGGAAGTTTGCGCGACAGCCAATCAATATGTTGTTATTCCATAAGAGCTAGAAGGTTATTACGGAAAGCAGCATATTGATTGGCTGTCGCGCGAACTTTTGCCGCGCGGCAAACATTACCGCGTCCTGTGTGCAGGAGCCATATAAGGATACATTATATAAGCATTAATCGTAAGAACATCGTTGGAGTCAC